CAGCAAGGAGGATCACTTAGTCAACAGGAAGCGCAGGATCTACAGGATGATAGAGACGTTGGTGAGCAGGTAATGCAGGAAATAAAGAGAAGTAGTGGTCGGAAGCCAAGGGAAGAATCACGTGCACGGCGCTGTGGCAACTGCGGAGAGACTGGTCATNAGAGAAGTAGTGGTCGGAAGCCAAGGGAAGAATCACGTGCACGGCGCTGTGGCAACTGCGGAGAGACTGGTCATAATACGCGCACCTGTAATATTATAGAGGAAGTATCTGAGGAAGAAATTTCTGAATAGTGTTTTTTAATTAGAGGCGTTGTGGTAGAGTTCTTACAATTTCAATCGCGAGTGTAGAAAATTTTGGCCGGTTCGCTTGTTTGGACGGTTCGCTTGTTTGGACGGTTCGCTTGTTTGGCCGGTTCGCTATACATGCACGTTAAGTTAAATATATTATTAAATTCTCTTCTAATTAAGTAACTTATACTTAAGTATTTAAGTTTTTTATATTAGACGTTTCGTATAACATATTTATATAGTTTATTAGATATTTAGTTATTCCTTTATATATACTTTATAAAAGGTTATTTAACTAACCTTTTAGTATAAGTAAGATCGTTATTTTACAATACTTATACTAGGAAAAGTTAGTAATAATAGGTATTTAAAATTAAGTATAGGACTATTCTAGTTATATAAAGCTTTTAGAATAATTTATTCTTAGAGGGGCATATAGAGATGTAACTACGCTTTTAATATACTATATAGAAAGTGATTATACTAAATATATAGTATAACTGTGACGACACGTACGATGTGTTTGCTCAAGGAGCGTCCAAGGTGTAGGTTATGGAATCGTAGAACTGTCTATTCGAACATTCTAAGCTGAGGAGAAGAGGAGAGCTCGAGAGAGCTTGAGTCTAAATACAATGTGGTTCGCTAAGGAAGCCACGTGATATGAATGCCACGTGACGGTCAGAACCGTCACAATAAGTAACTTGATATCTTAGTATAAGTAGTATAATTAAAAGTAGAATTTAATAAGTCTTTTAATTTATTTATATAACTATTTTAATTCTGTAAGAGCTTCTAGGATATTACTATTTTATACTCTATAGAAACTTATAGTATAATAACTAGGACTCTTAGATTTTATAAATCACTTGCTTAATGGTTGAATCTAGAGGTATGGTTGTTTATAGAGATACGACATGAAGGAGTTGTATAATTATTAGGTTAACTAAATATTATAGACTGTGAAGTCACGAGTGCTGTCGCTTACGCCAACGCTTAACATAGGCATGCTTGGCTCGGACATTTGTATTTACTAGACTACAGTAGCTTCTCAAAAGCTCCTCTACATTTCACACAATTACCAGGCCATAATCTAAAAGCTTTTCCCGACATCACAAGTATCCCCATTATTCATCCCAAGGCTATGTCTCAACTTATCCTCCGCATCAACCACTCTTCTCGGCAATCCATGGCCAATCCCAAAGAAGACAAAAAAGGCCCACTTGCACCGGAATGGATTGATGGCAATGCAGAATGTGAACCACCACACGAGTTCCAGATAGGTGAAGAAATCAAAGGCATTCGTGGGCGCGAACTTCTTGAGCACTCGCGTCATGTCGATCCAGCGTTGCATCCAGAAGGTGCGTGGTCGAGTGAGCGGGTCTGAGAGGAACATGAGGAGGATTCGCGTGTAGATTCCGATGTGCCAGTTTCCGACTGTTCCTATGGCGTTGACATATGTACTGTACTGAATTAGCTGGTTTTCTTTCTTGATCTTGGAGGGAGGAACATACCAATTGTTACAGCAAATACTTGGATGTTGTGGAGGAAATGTCTGCAAGTACCAATTTGGAGGCGCGTAGGGCTCCTCGAAGTTACTGTCCGGCAAGAAGTTCAAGGATGGACGATCATACCCCGTAGCCATAACCACAATATCGCCCTTGATAATTCGCACCTTTCCTGGCCCATCGACAGGAACGCCTTTTGCTCGGACATTGAATTTGATTCCGTCCTGTGTGAAACTCTCGATATCACCTCTTAGCCATTCGGCCTTTCCAGAACGGACTTTATCCATAACATCCGAGTTAACCATGGGTGTTCCAGTGAAAAGCCCCTTGTGCGTTGGAGCGAGATCCTCAAGGTCACGATAGAAGAACTTCTTTAACAGCAATTCCGGGATCCAAGAGAAGATTGTTTGGCCGCCGAAAATATTGAGAGATAGAGCAATGTTTACAAACATGTTTCGAGGTATAATCCATTTGTCGCTTCTTGCTAGGATGTAGATCTTTTCTGCCTCCTCGTGGGATGCGAACTCGAGAGCCTCGACGGCACTGGCACCGCCTCCAATGACTATTATGGATTTTCCTTTGGCTTGCTTACCATCTAGGTCTGAAGAATGATATATTTCGCCTTTGAAGACCTCCTGTTTGGTAATGTGTGGCATTTTCGCGTCTCCACAGGTTCCTACTGCGGCGATGATCCCATCGAATCTTCCCTCGGATGTTTTGTTGATAACCCAACGTCCCTTTTCATCTTGGTAGACTTTCTCGACGGGAGTATTGAACTTTGTTTTTGATTCAAGGCCGTAACGTTTCCAGAGTTCCGTAATTTGAGAGACAATTTGTTCGCGATTGGGATAGCCTCCCTTCCATTTGACAGAAGGGTTGAATCGATACATCAAAGAATGGATTTGGAGACCGGAAGTATTGTTCACTTTCTATGCAATCATTAGCTATTTATTCTTAGCAATTGGTGAACATTCAATAATAACATACACTCCAGATGCCACCAAGATGTTCCCTAGGACCAGCCTCGAAAATCTGAACATCGAATCCATGACCAACACAATGCGAAGCAGCAGAAACACCCGTCAACCCGGCACCGATAATCGCAATCTTGGGCCTTCCCAATTTCTCTCCTGGTGCTGGGGGATCAGGAGAGAATATTGTATTAATAAGCCATTGAATGATTTGGTACAGGAATGCAAAGGGGTGAAGGATCGGACTCTCCATTTTGAGAACTGGCGCATGTAATCAGTAAGAATATAGAAGCAATTAATCTCAATGAGAAACCAAAGCATCCTTTTAAGAGGGAAACGTGAACCTGGAACTTGTCTACCGTTTCAAATCCCAGGCGAACTTTTGGGATGGTATGACGTAGCTTTGAATTTACTTTGCGAGGCGGGATATTGTCGGATAATATGATCTCATATGTGAAAGTTTCCTTCCACGGGCCCCCTTTTTTTGGCGAGAGAGATTCACCGGATTTGTTTGTAATCAAGAGGATAGCTGCAAATATGGAAATCGCAATAATCAAGAGCAGGGAGATTGTGTTAATACCTATAAGTAGAATATGCGAGAGGCTGTATCCTCGACTATTCGACTGAAAGTAGAAATGTTACTACGATAGCTACACCTATTCTTTGGAAACCACATTTGACATCCCGAGATGATTCAGAAATCACTATCTTGAGAGCAGGAATTTGTAGAGCAAATAATGTCATTAGAAAGACACCTTTAGGCTATCGTGCCTTTATATCCTATCAATAAGCCAAGATTATTAATGCATTCTTTTTGGTGGAAGCCCGTTGCGAAGATGGATAGCAAATGGAAGTTTGAAACGGATTTCGGTCGGCTTCCGGCTCTAAAATTATCTCAATTATACACAGTGAATGCCGTTCCTGACACGTGGTAAAATCAAGAGGATTTGTAGTGAATCTTCCTTACCATTCATCGTGGCTGTGCCAAACAATCAGATCCAAATCACCACAAATGATGCCTCAAACACCTTCTGGGACATCAAACATGCCGAACAGTCACACATCTCCAGATCCGTGATTCTGTTGATCAGAACGAGCATTCACAGATCATCAAATCCCGCCTTCTCCACAATTTATTAAACACTGTCCTCCCAAAATGAGCCAGACACTTCCACCCGCCAAGTTCAAGAGGACTACTTCTTCTCCATCTCTCCCACAAGATAGCACAACAATGGACAGAAGCAACTATACGCCCCACGATTGCTATAGCGAATACCAAGAACGTACCCAAGCACAAGAGCAAGCCGTCAAACCATCGCTATTGAACTTCGACCCCTTGAGCCAACTCCCACCATGGCTGGTGCATCCCGAAAGATTGAGCAATGACGCTATCTACTACTCCAACAGCTCGCCCTGGTATCAAATACAACTGCAAAATGCTAGACGCAATCCCAATTCACCAATTTACTCACAGCAGAGCTCGCCGACATTCCGTAGCGAGGGAGAGGAGGAGGAGCATCACGAGGAATCAAAGTTTATGGCTAAGGAAGGAGTCCAATCTTCTAACGCAAAAGATGAAGGAGGTTTTGAGAATGAACCAGAAGCCAAAAATGGCGAGGAAGACGGAAATGTAGAGAGCGACGAGGAATGGCAACACGAATCACTTTACCATAGCGGAAGCACTATCAAGGCCCACACCAAGGAAGCAGGATCATGGCTGGCAACCTCGTTGGAACTCTTGAATCTTTCAAGGAAGACAGACGAGAAGCTACATACCAAGTCTCCTGGAGCCGAAGAGGGAAAAGAGGGAAATGCAGAAAGGGGAAACCGTCTTTATGAGAGGTGGAATCCCGGAGCACACGAAGGGAAACTTCGCAAGAGTCAAATTGACGAAACACTGCTTTATGAAAAGGTTCGGAAGAGCCGCAGAAGCACATTCACACCCATATAGAGACTCAGCAAATCCCAGGAAGAGATTGCAGAAGGGAAGAGGGGAGAAGAGAAGAAGATTCCCGGAACACCTCCAACAGAACATCGACTATAAAAGCTCCAAACACGCAGTAGCAACAGCAACAGCAGCGACCAAAAGACGTTCATTCTTCATCTTGAGCACGCTGATAAAGGAAAAGAGCCTGTGAGACGGTATCATGGAGGTGTTGAATCAAGGATATAGATAGTTGGAACCCGCAGCAACAGAGGATCTGAGATTCGCGTCCTGGGTCTCTGATTAGACTCGCTTGTCTATGTAGGTTTTATCTAGAAGTGGTATTCTTGGTAGCAAATAACGAATATTATTGGGATTTTTTAATTGTATTTTTATGCTTTCTAGTTGTGAAAGACTCTCAAACGAACATTCTGTTAACGAGTCTGAATAAGAGATGAGTAACACGAAGAGTATCCGCACAGCTTACTAAACAGCAAAGCGAAATTTCAAAAGACAGCGTGATTTGAATTTCGTAATTGATTTGGTGGAAAAGATACGTTTTTCAGCGTGTAGCCTACTGAACTCGCAATAGATTAAAAATGGACTGGGAACACGCCCGTTTGCTATCTCTATTTCTCGTACTCCTACATCCATGCCAAGAGACAATCAATCCTCATCATCGTCATCAAAAGTCTCAAGCTGGAAGGCGCTCTTCTCCTGTGGCCTCTGAACACCAGCACTAGAACTCATTCTTCTCTCCATAGCTTTACGTCGCTCTTCTTCCATTCGTGCCAATTCTTCTGCCCTTTTCAAGTCCTCTTCCTCTTGGATTCTCTTCCGTTCAGCCTCCAGCTCCGCGCTCTTCTCTGGATCAAATGTGGCAGGGTCAACTCCTTTGTTGATCAGGATTTCAATACTAGCCAGCGCACCTCTTCTGATAATATCCTCAGAAGGCCATGGAACAAATGGTGCTTCTCCGGGCGCGTTTAAATATTGTGTCCATTCCGTGGGCAAAGCGGTTTGGGAAGACGGTTCCGTAGATTGTGCAGCGACAGCTGAGTTCTCGCCAAACGATGGTATCCCGGTCATTTGGGAACCTACGCCATTCAAAGGCGCCACTGGGGTAGAGTTTCCATTTGTGTGGGATTGAGATCCGGGCTCTCTAGGTGTATTGGTGCCTGCTTCTCCAGTATCTGAGTTACTTTTAACCTCCCCTTCCCTGTATGTGCTCGGAAGCGTAAACTTGCTTATACGGCGGGCGTAGGAGAGAAGTTCAGAGTATGAAACGGTGTTGGCAGATGCAGGGAAGCTGGTGGAAGATGTTGCAAGTAGCTCTTGACGTGTGGTGGTGAGGAGGATCAAGGTATCGCGGATTTGAGCATCGAGCTGATCGGAAGTGACGCGTAACTCTTGTATTTTGGCATAGTTGGCTTGGTGTTTTGAGACTATATATTGTTAGAGGATGTTTGAAGAATGATTGTGAAGCAGTTTTGCTAACCTTGCTCAAGTCCTTGGCTAAGCTCTTTGTCGGCTGCGACAAGGTCATTGGCGTGGGCAGTCGAAGGGTTATAGGTTGAGAGTGATTGGACAAGAGTTGCGAGAGCCTTCTCTACTCGTGCAAAGCGTTTATCAACTATCTCATTCATCGTGAAGATTGCGCGGTATGGTTGTATTTGTTTGCGGATTGGCATCCAGCAAGGCATGGATAGATTAAATGGAGGTGTATTCTACATTAGGACTAGCGTCGACCGCGAAATCAGGTGATACATGATCCACCTCCAGACCTTCTTGAATTCACTCCCAGTCGGAGTCTCTTCTCACTCGTTAGACTTATACGATTTTTCTCTCATTTTCTTGTCCCGGATGATTCTATTTAGCTTACTTCTCAAGTCATCAATTGCGACAAAATACTATTCTCAAGGAGTAGTAGATTTGCTAAAGGCGAGGTTCCGCAAATTTGTACTCATGGAAAACAGTGATACCAGAATTTCAGAAATGGTTGGCGGGGTGCAAGTTGGCTTGGTTTGAGCTTCTGTCTGGGAATAGAAATCTTCTATCCTCAATTACGAGTTTGCCTAACGTCTCATATTTCATAGTATGTTCTTGTTTACAACCCTGATATAATAGAAGTATTTCAGATAACAACAACGAGCTATACATTCATTGATTCTCAAACTCATATGACTGAGATCGTTTCTTTTTTGCCGTCTTTCTTTCCACCGTTCGTACCGGCGGTCTCAGATTAGACCGAGTTCGGTTCTTTTGTATGCACTAATATCTACTTTAACCACAAACAATACAACCTACCAGGCATAATAGAAATGCCCTAGTCCGAAGTACCACAAACGCGAATCTGCTGAATTACAGCTGTCGCTGTTCATGCGCATCCAGCCTACCTCGAGCTCAGGGGGGTTTCCTAGGTATGAGATTTCTATGCAAAGTCGTTCGGTAAGCAGCGTTCGGTAACTGGACTTCCATTATATTACATTTTAATAGAGGTCTAGAGGATTCCACTTCTAGACTATAGAAGCTAGAATCTATTATATAAACAGATTTACATGGTACTCTATAGCACCTCCCTTAGAATTATATTAGCCTAAAAGCCCTACACAACTAAAATGGTTCTATAGAGAGTTTAGAATAATGTTAACTCTTCCTTGTTGTTAGCGCAGGTATCTTAAGACAATTATTTCACTTATGCTAGAATTTTGTATAATATCTTTTTATATAGTATCTATAGTAATGGCCAGGTATCGTATATTCTAGTCAAAGATCGACATAAATCCTGTCTTGACCCTACGAAGAGAGAAGAAGTATCTCGCGAGAATCGAGACTGAAAAGACAGATTCTCAGGAGGAATAAATGAGAAGAAATGCATTGGAAAAAAGGAAAGTGGAAGACGGCAATAGAAAAGAAATTGTATTTACATGGATAGGTGTTCAGTCAAAACCGACCAACCCATTGCAAGACTTTGTGTACTAAGCAAGAAGGACTTGGACCGAAACACTCGCCCTTTACAACATCTGGTCCAATGCTCGATCCATTCAGACACACCCGTGCGACAACACTCTGGAGACGCGAAAGACAAGCCAGCGAAACCCAGGGAGTGACCGAAACCCTTCTACAACATTTTCCACCGCCAAGTTTAATGATCGATATTAGTTATCGTAGAAGGACGCTCGAAAAGAACCAACTCTCTGCTTAAAACAGTCTGCTGCTGCTGATTTTCTTCTGCCTGTTGGGAACTGGCTTGTTGCTGCTCTAACTCATGGCCTTTTCTCTTTAGATCATCTCGATCTAGTTTTAACTCATCTATCTCTACCTTCAATCCATCAAGCCTATTCGATAACTCATCGCCTTCATCGGTTAGCTTATTATACCTCACAGACATACTATCCAGGGAATCCGTCCTGATTTTTTTGTTATTACCGCTTTCAAGTAAATTAGCTCTATTCTCAAGATCGGAGATAGAAGAGCTACCTGTAGTTCACTTTTAGTCTACCTCATCTACCCCTTAGTATATTCGATAATAGTAAGTGCTATAAGTTCCCGCGAAAGTAGAATATTAGAAATAGTTAAATACTTCATATATATTATGAAATATTATTATACGAAACGGTTAGAATAAATTATTTAATTATATTTATATACGTTAGTTAATAAAGAATAAAAATTAATAATTATTTTAAACTCTTTATTAAGCTATATAATTATTTTCGTTATACGAGAATATTAGAGCAATAGTATTTTTTAGTTAAACATATTAAAAGTATTAAATATATATTGTACTAATAGTGTTTAATATTTAGAACTTAATTATATTAAAGATCTAAAATAGTTAAGTAGTTAGTAGATTTGTTACTTATTTACTATTATTTGTAGAGGTGTAGTTGACTTGACTCTATTAGAGAGTCTAGACAAAGTTAACATAAATGGAATAGTATCGTATCCGACTATTAGATATGTACACCGAGTAAAGGTTATAGGTGTACGCTATTATATATTGTAGCGCCAAGGCGCTAGCCGCCTTGCTAACTTCACTCAATCGAGTTAGCTTACACGTGCTATGACCTATACCGAGTATTCACTCAGTATTCGTATAGCGACAAGAGGAAATATCTTTTGACCAAGTAAAGGTGCGAGGATTGTAAATACTACACCTGGGGTTTGGAGAGCCCCAGGGTGCCACATGCTCTTTCTATTTCTATTCCTAAAAACAGAAACAAAAAGGCTGGCTACAACAGTCGCTCAGTAGTACAAATGGTGGTGTACAAATGGGGATGGTGGCGGGCGAGAAAAAGAGAGCCCTGGGCGTACGCTTCCTGCTCTCGGGCAGGAAATATGAAGTTGTTGAAGGTTCCTGCCCCCGCCGCTAGCTCTTGTCGGTTGTTTGTCTGTCATCACGTGATATAAAAACATCCCCATTAAAACGACTTGAAGAGTCAATTACACCATTAACGTAATATTTTTGTCTGGTCATCTGTTAGAACCGAGACCGACCGACTCCATTCTAAAGAACATACCCGTGATTGATACATACTGTAGAATTCGGTCTATTGGTCTGATTATTTGGTCTGACCTGAATCAACTTAGAGGATTGTGTAGCCACCTTCAACCATATATATGTTTGACTGAATCAGGAGATATTTACCAAGAAAATTTACTTGAGCCTGAGCTTCATCTTCTGCGGAGCCAAAATCCTGGGCTACGATTCTATACATGACAGCAAAAGCTGACAACAATAGGATTATGGAGTACTTTGTTTATTTTCGTGTCAAAATTTTTCCGTGGTTTTCCTCCTATGGTTGGAATATGCTTGCGTGCTGTGGGTTAGTGTACAAGTAAGTCACGATGATGAAACATACTAGATATCAGCCCTACGAGATTTAATCGTGTTTATTCTTGCAAGTTGGCAAGGATACTCTACCTAGGCATAGTACTCGTACATAAATGGGATGAACGCATTCTTTCTCGAAGGAAGATTTTCGATATTGATTGCTGAGTCCAGCAACGGCCCTCGGTTTTTGTGCGCTCGTAAGCAGCGTCCAAACACAGCAAGTGAAACCGCCACTAGAAACTAAGCGAGACTTACCAAGCGCTTGCAAATCTAGGAGTGATTGAGTTGAGATTAAGAAAATAACCACACAACAGTGTATATTACATAGAAAATCCATTCTGCTAGAGGTAGTGAATTGGAATGTCAATGAGGCTATTGCCAGTGAATCTCCTACTCTGGAGTTGTGAGTTGTGGAGGTGGAGATGGAGGTGAGTGGTGGAGTAGTGCTGTTACTCCGCCCCTATTACGGCAGCCAAACTCGCCACATTTTCGGTTCTGTCATAGCATCTGGACGCTGCCCCGCGATACCAGTACCTGCACTTGCGCCCACCTCATCTCCAGCAAACAACTGATCAATTACCACAACACAGCCCTGCAAAAGTCATATTGGCATCGCAATTTCTGTCGCCGAGCTGTGCTCCTGACGTAGCTGTCGCCGTCGATCGAATACCGTAGCTTGAGAACGCTACTGCTGCGCAGCGCTGCCTTGCAGAGCCACGACACCTACACCCAGTCTGGAGGCGACCTCTGCACTCTCATTTGCATATTGTCCCGACCGCAATTGTCCATTAAGCAAAAGCTGCGGCTTGGAGGGTCTATGATTCACACAGGTATGGCTCGGCCAGCCTCGTCAGAAGCCTTGGTAATAATCGTAACTGACCTTTGCCTCGTCCAGCTTCCTCATCTTCTTAACCCTCCCACGATCCATACACCACTGAGTGACCGAATCTTCCATCCTGCAATTTAGCGCACAGATAAGACATACCTGTATCTTTCGAGGACAAGCAGTTGTCAGGGACGTCAAGATGGGCAAGTCGTAAGTCAAGGTCTTCTTTTACTCGATGCGCGCGAGACTCGTGGCACGGCGCAACGACAACCGGCAATCAACTGGCCTCAACATATCGAGACGTGTGTCGCAGAATGTCTCCGACCCAATATTTGAAGAGCCAACAGTATTAGCCTACACCTTGAGGGCAAATGCGACATCGAGATCCTCGAAAACCCCAGTCCATCCGTGACTAAACAGGCACCCATAGTTGGGTTCTAGACGCCAACTTCCCGGTTCTCTAACACTGTCACAAGCAGGCGCAACTTGAGGTTCAATGAATGCCTGGCTGCTTCACATACATACATGACCTCTCTCTCTCCTACGCTAGTCGTCCTTCGTTAAAGCGGTGCTCTACCAAACCACTACCTTGGACTCGCGAGCGCATTTTGGCATCATTGTCTTGCCCAATCCACGTCGCTGACACCTTGAATTCAGTCAATCCAAGCTCTCCCAAGAGCAACTCAGCGAGCTGCAGCGGTCGACCCATTTCGACAAGAAGGAGCTTCAGCAATGGTACAAGGGCACGTGCTACTCTCCGCATACCATGGTTTCATTCTAACAGATCATAGGTTTCCTGAAGGACTGTCCGTCCGGGATGCTTACTAAAGAGGAATTCCAAAAGATCTATAGACAATTCTTTCCGTTTGGAGACCCTTCGTCATTCGCAGATTATGTATTCAACGTCTTCGATTCGGATAAATCTGGTTCTATCGATTTCAAAGAGTTCATCTGTGCACTGAGCGTCACCAGTCGAGGAAAGATGGAAGACAAGCTAGATTGGGCATTTCAGTTGTACGATATCGATGGAGATGGCAAGATTAGTTATGATGAAATGTTGGCGATTGTTGAGGCTATCTATAAAATGGTATGTTTGTCCCGGGGCGCCAGTCAAATTTGCGATTTTGATATAATGCCTGTTGTGGTTTTGCAATTCCCTTGAACTCTAACGAATACTAAATTCTGAAAGGTCGGTTCGATGGTCAAGCTACCCGCAGACGAAGACACCCCAGAGAAGCGAGTACGCAAAATCTTCCGAATGATGGACAAGGATGAGAACGGAAGCTTAGATATGGAGGAGTTCAAAGAGGGCAGCAAGCGCGATGAGACGATCGTATCCGCTCTTTCTTTATACGATGGTCTCGTCTGATTTCTTTTCGGCCTTTTTCATGAAGCACTTTCTTAGGGATGATATCAATGGCGGTGGATGAACTAGATGTGAGCGGGAGTTTACAAAACTCTCGAGGAGGAATTGGTTCCAACTGGGATTTCTCCCTCGTCCTTTTTTGTATGTTTTTGCCTACTGCTTACTGACGATATGACCATGCTTCATGACTCGATGATTAGCCGTGTCGGCATGAACTCGATTGAGTAGAATGGCTAGCATTCATGCTGCTGTTTTTTCCTTTGCCCTTCTCTTTTGTACAGGCATGCTCTTAGCGTGGTATAGCATGTAAGGAATCGAAATTTTGAATCTTTATCTCATGTCCACTTTTTACTATATCTTTTCTAGTCACTGGCGATTGAATACAAAGTGAATAAATACCCTTGCATGCCGCTTGCTTGTTCAAGTTGGGCTAATAAGCACGTAGGTAATAGGCAGCTTGCTAGACTACCTTGTACAAGTACAGCACTGGTATACTTAATGGTTGAGCATCGCGCCAAGTGGGAGCCCAGAGGGAGCCGCAGCTGATTAATAAAAATGGGGCATTTGTATGATCTGATTGCCCAATGAATTTCTAATGCTGACTTTTGTGCTGGCGGGATCCCACCTCCACCGCCCCATACATACCCATGGGCTGGCCGTAACTGGCGAGGAACACAACAAAACTCCGCATGGAAATCGTTCTGTAACCGTAAGTCCATCTCTATTGTCTCCTATAAGATTCCCCATCTTTACCTCCTTGCCCTAAACCTTCATGCAACTCCACAACCGCACCTCGGCAGCTTTCCTCTCAGCTGCCCGCCTATTCCAGCAACCCCTCAGTCTCTTCTCCTCGAACCAAACCTCGTCTTCCACAACCATGACGCGCGCCCCAGTGATTGCAGTCTGCCATGGAGGTGGACCTATGCCATTGCTTGGAGACCCTGGCCATGCCAATCTGATCGAATCCATGTCTACCAAAGTCCCAGAGACGCTACAATTAGGCACACCCAATGCGCCCAAGGCAATTGTGCTTGTTACTGCTCACTGGACAACTCGAACCCCCAAGATCAGTTCGGCGAAAACACATGAATTGTATTACGATTATGGAGGATTTCCGCCCGAATCGTACAGATTGAGATACGATGCGCCTGGAAGTCCAGAAGTTGCAAAGCAGGTATTTGATTTGTTGCAGGCTGCGGGATTCACTCCTTCCATGGATGAGGAGAGAGGTATGCGCTTGTCTGCCATACTGTATTGTGTGGGCATTGGAGTCTAATGGTGCAACAGGCTGGGATCATGGTGTCTTTGTTCCTCTCACTTTGATCAACCCCAAAGCCGATATTCCTGTCGTACAAATCTCCGTTCTCAACACTGAAGAATCCTCCGCCCACTACGCTATGGGAAGAGCCCTCGCGCCTCTTCGCGACCAGGGAATCGCAATCATTGGCTCCGGAATGCCCACTTTCCATAATCTACGATTGATGTTCTCCCTCCCTGGTAGATCCCAGGGAGATAAAGCAAAGGTTTTGGACCGGATCGCTCTCTGGAGTAAGGACCTTACAGACGCGGTGTGTTTGGAAAGCAGTGAGAAGCGTGAAGCGAAGCTGAAAACTTGGAGAGGCTTCAAGAGTGGCGATGAAGCTCATCCTCCTGGAATGGCGGAGCATCTGCTTCCTTTGTTTGTTTGTGCTGGTGCGGGAGGGGATGGTAAGGCGCATGCTCATGGTGATGATCTTCATGGTTCGGAGCACTTTACGTATTCTTGGAAGTGAGTACTTGAGATTGTATGTGGAATGAACTAATAACATCTTTTTCCCGTTGTGATTTGGTGTTGCTGTATGTCATGTCTTGTCTTGATCCTTGCGGCTGGTAAACTCGACCTCCTACAATGGGTTATTGACTAGCACTGGATCTGTGGAGATCACGACCGCTAGTTCTGGGGGCTGCTTAAGTTGAACGTCAACGGAATCCTATATTTGATCGATCAATGAATGATCAGATGGAGTTTTCAAGCAGGAGCCTAGGTACACTCCTACTATCAACAGGGCCAGTATAAATTCTACTGTAGCTTTTCGACACAATTTGATTGGGTTTCCAAGTTCTGTAGGATAGTCGAGGAACAGATCAGAGTTGTCTACTTTGTCAAAGACTCGCTTAATGGACCTTGCCTGGCACCCACCCCCTGATGTACAGGAAGCACGCCATGTTCTTTAGCCAAATAATTTTCTTTCCTTCTCTTTTTATAAAGCACTTGAGTAAACCCTCCCTCTTCTCTGCTAGCTACTTTGTGTTCCAGTCTTCAAGCCCCAAAAAGCAACTGTCGTTTCGCGTAAGTCAGTTACGTTTGAAGTTAGAGCATAGCCCTAAATAAGCCTTTTTGACAATGATCTTACTATGACACTTTTCCGTCTTATCTAGTTATTCTTAACGACTTATGATATTTCTCTATTGTTTCATTGTTTCTCTGGGTGCTCTACTAGATCATGTGTGGTTATATGTGTTTATTGAGCTGTATCTGGTTTGTCTCAAAGAAAGTATTTGAGGATTGGCTTTTGTGAATTTTGGATATATATCATGTCCGGGTTTTGCTTTGGTTGGAATTGGAGTATGTAGTGGGTGTTTGATTTGTTTTTTGTGGGATTGTTTGAGTTGTTGAGGGGCTGGAAATTGTGGGTGTGAGGTGAGGGATGTTTTTACTTTTGATTGATATATGTATACCACTGCGAGATAATTAAGTTACTTGTTCTAAACTGGCGTAAGTTTCTTTTTTAACACTGTGTACAAAGGTGGTTATGACAATACAACGGTAGGGTGAAAGATTTGAAGCTTTTATACGGCATCCTAAGTATACTATACCAAAAGAGGTACACTTAGACTACTGTAAAGTACCTTGCAAATAAGCTCTTTTGCGCAGACATTTTCAATTAAAAGCAAGAGAACTAGCTACGAGTCTCCTACGTCAAAGGCGTCTTTACAAAGTTCTAGGAGGTTTCGATAATCTTTAGTAGTAATTTAAGCTAGAAGCTTTAGTCTGTTAAGAAGTCAGACTTTGAGAGACAGAGTATATACGTTCAGGATTAAAAGAAGAAAAGATTGATAAAAGTTTAATTTAATATAAGAAAAAAAATGGAAAGAACAAGGTTCTGTAGTACCAGCTACTGAATTGAAGGCAGCACCTTACATGTACCGTGGCTTGTTATTTGAAATGCCCACCTGGCACCTGGGCAGACATTTCAGGAACCGAGTTCAAGAGGGCCCAGTGTGACAGCAATAGGCAAGTACCTATCGAGTCGAGGAACCTCAGGTCTGGTCGAGACTGACCTCGATGGCTAAGGGTCCAGTTCAAGAACGCTTCTTCCCGATTCTCAACTGAATCTCGACCATGGTCGCCTGTAGTGATCGAAGAGAGGGGGGCGGCACCCTCGACGTGTCGAGGTGAGCCAAATCAAAACTGGTCAGGCCCTCGAGCTCAATTGTTCCTTCCCTCTCGAGGTCTATACTTCGACCTTGCCAGCTTGAACTTGAAATCGGACCCGACTCGGCAAGACTTGCTACCCCGTCTAATCCTCGCGTCGCCTCGAGTTAACCTGTGTGGTCCCCGTCGCATGATCATGGCGAGATCAGGGCTTGGGTTTAGAATGGGAAGGCACGATATGTCTTACTCGCTAGTATAACCCCTTCTCCTTCTCCCCTTCTTTTTCTTCCTCCTACTCCTACGAACACAACTTTTCCTCGTCAGATGGAATCTAAAAATATTGAAGGCGGAAGGGGGCAGGTGAGATCCGGAAATCAACGACGCACCAGCAGTATTGCTACTGCCCGATTGAACGGATGTGACTACCTTGGTTAGTATATCTAAACTCGTCAGAGCCCTTCAATTCCAAATACAACCTCGACAAAAATTGGTTGGGTATAGGTAGGATAGAATGAGATGTCGGTTGTGGCTTCCAGGTCGAAAATTGGAAAGACAATTATTTGCACCACGATGATCAAAGCAACTGAACTCATACAAACATTCAGAACCAAATAGGCGGGGCGTACCTGTCTCCTTACATACCTACATATTCCCTTGGTTGCAGGTGGGCAGTAAGATCTTACATTTCGTACGTACACAATCGGTCACCTAATCGGGAAATGTCAGACAACAAAGCAGCAGTGGAGCTCCCATTCCGATTTTTTTGACAATCAAAAGATATATGGAAACCAAGAAGGCATATTTTGGCTAGTTATTGCAGCACTTTGGATCGAAATTCTGATCGATATTCTGTATGAAAGAGACTTCTTAAGATTGGTGATGGTATGGGAAATGTCACATCCACGATATTCAGTGCCGCTTTTCACCTCGCGCCCAAAAATGTGGCTGTGTGAATGGATTAGGTGACCGAAACTGGAACATGCCTGGGCAGGCAACAACACCATGGACCTCATCCCTTCTTCGATTCATATTTCCAATTCATTCACTTTTCTCTTCTTGTAATCCTGGGCTATTCCAATTCAATTTCCAATCCCCCTTCCGTCTCTACAATTGATCTTACATTATCCCTCGGAACTCACAATGGACTCCCTCACTCCCCCCACCTACGAAATCTTCCGCGACAAGCACGGGATCCCCCAATTCTCCCCCAAACGGGGAACCCGTGCCCTAATAAACGCCCTCTCCTACGCCTTCCCAACCCTAGAAACCGAGCTGGAGTTGATGCAAGCAGCCCTGCAAAAGTTCTTTGTGTCTGAGAAAAGAGTCAGCGGCACATTCATCTGTGAACTACCAGAGAACAACTTGCAAGCCAGTTTGAAGGACCAGAAGGACGATGTGGAAAGTCCTTTGCCTAGTGCGGTTGCCTTTTTGCGGAGTTGGAAGGTTGCGTTGGAACCGCAGCGAGGAGCGCGGGCGGGCTCAAGGTCTAGTTCAAGGGTGGAGGGACGAACGCCGGCTTTGACTAGTAGGAATACTAGCCGAGCAAGCAGTAGGTGCGGGACGCCTGTGTGGAGGGAACCGGATGGAGAGGTATTGAAGGGCAGTTCAATGACGACTTGGAGTTTGTCGAGTGGTCAGGAGATTGAGAAGAAGAAGCGAACTCCTTATGACCCAGTCAAGAGGCGGAAGGTTGCGGAAAATAGAGGGAACGCTTGTGAGAAACATCGTTTGCAGAAAACTGCTGTAAGCTACGGCAAGTCAGCGCAAGAGGATGAAGTGCTGACGAGTTGTGTAGTGTGATCCAAGTTCTTGCCCTCAGAACAAGCTTTACTCGAAGGCTTCTAATTGCAACAAACCAGAAAGCAGCTTTGTGAATTCCGAAGCAGAATTTCCCAAATCCAATCAAAGACCTGGAGTATCAAGACCTGAACTTCAGACCTCGACGAGTTCTTTTCTTGTAGAAGACAAAACACTTCTAATAGGAAGCGAAGACTTCTGGGACTCCTCATTTTGCAATCCCATGCCTGTTCAAAGCCATACCTCCCAAACAAGCACTATGACTCGCACGAGTTCGTCGCATAGTACACGTACTACAACATACGACGAGAGCCCATATAGCAACCCTGACCTTTCAGACTCGCATATATCGAGTGGCCTCCATTTCAATAACTCGAGCACAGCACTGCTAGGATTAGACTCACTGTTGGATGAAACTCCAGCTTGGAAAAGTCCAGAAGACAATACTCCCTGGCAAATTTCTACCGAACCGCAACCAACGCTTGAAGATCCTTTCATGGGCTGGGGCGACAAACGCGCGAGCCAGAACTTGGGCGAGTACGAATGGGTAGTAGAACACCTATGAATCTCTCCTGAGTGAAGAAAGAAGTCCAAACCTACGCCGAGACGATGACAGAAGCCAACGCCGCGAGGAAAGAAAAACTCTTGTCGCTATCACGCAGAGTCATCATTCACAAATCTAGCTACTAACTTCGCTGTAGCCCAGTCGCTAGCCAGAGCCCCCTCCGATATCCGAATGCAAGCTGATTGTAGAAATTAAAGAGGACAACGTGACGAGCTAGAACTTGGCCATTACGCAAAGAAATCCACCATCTAGAATCTGGGGCGACCCAGAAATGCCGTATCAACCACGTCACGCTACAGAAAGCCAACGACCCAAGATCCAGAAAATAGATTTCTAGAGACCCTCATACACTATCCGGGCTTGTTCAACTCGTCCTTTCCACGACGCACGTCGACGGAAGATTGAAAGGAACCAAACGAGCACCAAGATCTCACGAGGAAGAAAAGTTTCGCGGCTTAGAACATGTAAATATAATGTATATATAACTTACGACTTAACAAAATAATTCATGTTTCGTCTCCACACCCACTCTTCTGCATCCTAGCTTCTCCAACCCCGGATTTCCACAATACGTCGTACATTCCTCGTAGTTAATCAACTTGAAACTCCCTCCCGCTTTCAGGAACCAACGCATTTCTGTTACAGTAGAGAACAATGCAGCCCTGGACGAGTCAGATGACCAGGCAGTGGGGATTCTGGGGAAATACGAGGATCCGGGGTACCTCGAATCTTTCTGGGGCCCCCTGCTTCACCGCCAACGCGAACTCCAAGTTACATAAGAGCTTTTCGCGGGGACGGTTTCTCTGACCACAAGAGAAAGATTCCTAGCTTCGCTTTGAAGACATGGTTCTTATTTGACGAGTAAGAGGGGTCTGAACCAGGACCAGGACTAGGACTAGCAATTTAAAGTTTTGTTGCATGTCGCAATTTCGTGAGGTTTTGTAAGTGGGTATATGAGGTTTTGAAAGCAGAGAGATTTGTAGCTTGATATTTTCAACAACCTAATGTGTTTGAAAAAGAAATCTTTGAGACCTTCAAGAATTGGAAATTCACTTTGCTAATCTTGCTTTAAACGCAGACTTGAATCGTCCGGGCTTTCCGTAATCCTACAGATATGAGAATTGTACTTGCACAAAGCACGCAATAGTAAGGAAAATGTAACGAAGAGAACATCCAAACGTAATAGGCATAAGAATGAATAAACCTTCACCTCATTCGAAACGAACAAGAACATTTTCTCCGCTGTGGAAATCAGCGACTATGCTGTCACTTGACAAAACTCCGAATTGCTCTTACCAAATCCCCAAACATGGTACGTAAGTCAACAAGTTCAGTACATCCAGCCCTTCCAGCCTTCAAATCGTGACCGGAAAAGATCCAGAATGAGTGACAGCAGTAGAAAGCAAGTATATCCACCTTATTGGCCAAAACACATGGCAAGGTGCCCACCCTATACCGTCTGTCAAAGCTTATCAGGTAAGAGAAACATGATGCACGTTTTCTGGGTCTCGAATTTCAGAGGCAGGTACTGGATCTTTTGACCTCCTTTACGCAACGTCTTGAGCGCAAACTTCGGCTATTGGCTAGAAACTCCCTATTACGGAATACAAATCCCATGATCTGAGGAGGGGGTGAGTGGAGCGCTTGCTCCTAGTCTTGGCGCTATTGATAAGAGAAATCAAGGGTTACCGGTCTTGCTGGAGAGTGATAAGGTGGGAACTGTTTTTGGGAATAATGTAAATAGAGGCGGGATGAACGAGAGGAAAGAGGTGTTTTGAAGGATATCATTCTCTCTTCTTCTCTTACTTAAGACAATTTCGTAATGGCTGCCAGTCTCCGCATCGCTCTCCTAAACTGTGATACACCGGTTCCAAACGTGCTGGCAAAGAGAGGTCTTTATAGTGATCTGTTTGCGGAGCTCCTGAGAAATACAGCTAGCAAGACACCGGAACTTTCTGGGTTGGAGCTTGACTTTAAGGCGTATGATTCTGTGAAAGGGGAGGAACCTTCTGGGGAGGAATTGGCCCAGCTTGATGCTATCGTTATCTCTGGAGCAGGTAAGCACTTGCTTCTCCCCTGTGAGGCATTGAGGTTGGAATTCCAATACTAACGGTAACAATGTAGCTGCTGCTGCATACGATAAAGCCCCTTGGATTGATAGCCTCATCGCATTTTGCAGAAGTAAACAGACCCCATTCCAGTACACCATAGCAGAACTGACCATCGAGCAGGAGTCTACATATTACATCCCTCCATAAAGCTCTTCGGGGCCTGCTTTGGCCACCAGATCCTCTGCCACGCACTATTCTCCGGGCCAGGACAAAACATCGTCTCGGCAGAGGAATGGGAGCTAGGCGCCTGTCCAGTCGATCTCTCACCCACCTTTCTCTCCCATTTCGGACCTGTCACATCTAACAAGAAGAACCCCAAACAAATGCGCCAGCAATTCGTGCATCTGGATCACGTCGCGCTGTCTGCTCTGCCGCGGGGCTTCCATTCGATAGGGCGAACTGAGCGATGCGCGGTCGAGGGAGTGTGGAAGAAAGGCCGCTTGTTGACGTTTCAGGGACATGCGGAGTTTGATAGGATGGTGAATCGGGAGACTGTGAAGGTTTTTGGGTATAAGAAGTGGGGGAATGAGTTCTTGAGGGAAGCGCTGGATGCGGTGGAACGGGATGATGATTCGGTTTGGGCTGCGTCGGTTATGCTGAGGTTCTTTTTGGAAGAGGCTGATGTGGAGAGATCGGAGAGGTTTGGTGGAAATGTGGTATCGTCTTCGTCGGGAGAGGAGCTTCGTGTTAGAGCGAGGCTGTAGGTTTATGTCTCCGTATGGGAGAGGAAGTTCAGTTCGTGTGTATATAATAGTTTAGATTACTTAAATTCTTGGATCAAACTGGATTTCTGCATCGTCGGGCAAGAGAATTTCAGCTTTCGCTTTGGCGAACGCCTGGATGATGATATTTTGCACCAATAGTGTTTTTGTTGTTTGGCATTCCTCTTTCATTAAATGATGTAATCAACTACTCTGCTCCGAAATGTCGTTGTTCTGGTTGATAGCAGCGCAAATATTATATGTTGCGCCTCGTTTATATACAACACGACTCCACATGGACCTTCCTCCTGGTGTACAAGAAAAGTGGCAGAGATTCATTTTTTAACCATTAGCGTAAGTTAATTCTAAGTACTAAAATGTTTTAAATATCTAGAACAATTAATTTCCTTTTATTGTGCTATCGTTTTCGATAAATCACTGTGATTATTCGAGATAACTAATATAATATAGTGGTTTTTAGTTAAGTTAGGATAAGATAAAAATGAAACTCTGCCACTTTTCTTGTCCACCGGAAGCCTTCCAAGTAAGTGATAGAAATAGCCTTCACTCATGAGAACCACGACCAAGGATCAAAATCGCTCAGTACAAGCATATCAAACTTTCATTGGTAGGTAGAACATGTGGAATATGTGTTGGGGGAAGTGCGGGGTTGCTGATTGCCATACAACATCTCCATCCCCTTTGAGATTCTAATGAACAAACATTTCGAATCCCTCAAGACTCTTCAACATGGCTAAAATCCCTTCCCATATAGCCGAAGGCCTCAGTGACGATGACACCTCCAAATTCACCTTCCTACCTTTTTCTTCTCTCCCCCTCGTCCCCAACGGCCCACGAGGGAACGCATGGGGTCGTTTCGGTACCAAGGACGTTCTCGGGATGTTGAATCTCCTCACACCAGCTACAGTAGCCAACGCCGCGCTCGAGATCAAGACCGGGGAACGAGTATCGTTAGACTGGCCATTGAATAAACCCTCGCATCCCAGCTATGGCCGACCAGGATTCCAACATCAAGTTCTCCCGAATGCGGAGTTGAAGGCTGGCTGTGAATGATGATTTCTTGTCTTTTAATACGCAGGGAGGTAGTCAGTGGGATGGTTTTAGACATTTTGGTGAGCCTTGGGAAGATGGTGGAAGTGGGAAGCTAACGAGGGTTCTGGAGGCTATCAGAATGAGGAGAGGTATTTCAATGATAGAGTTCAGGATGATATTACTAATTCGAATGTATTGGGAATCGATTGTAAGTTTCACATTCAAAAAATCTTCCTCTCTCAACTTTTCTTTCCTATACCTCAAATAGCATGGGCAGAGAGTGGCGGGGTCATTGGTCGAGGCGTATTATTAGACTACGCCTCCTGGGCATAAAAAAATCTCCATTCCCATCGAACCATTCAAACCAAGCCCCATCCCAATCTCACACCTCCTCCAACTCATCAACGAACAAAACATAACCTTCCAACCGGGAGACATCCTCTTTCTCCGCACCGGTTTCACCAAAGCCTTCGACAACCTCACCATCACCTCCCAACAGGCCCTTCCCAATCGACCAACTCCCGATTTCATAGGAATCGAGAGATCAGAAGCGACTTTGAAATTTCTTTGGGACCACCAATTTGCAGCTGTCGCCGGTGACTGCCCCAGTTTTGAGAGCAGTCCTGTGATCGGACCAGGTATAGATCCTACTTGGAGTCTCCACGAGTGGCTGCTGGCGGGCTGGGGAATGCCGATTGGCGAGATGTTTGATTTGGAGGAACTTAGCGAGATGTGTAGGAGGAAGGGGAGATCGAGCTTTTTTGTTACTAGTGTGCCTTTGAAAGTTCCTGGTGGAGTGGCGAGCCCGCCTAATTCTGTTGCGATATTCTGAGGTTCTGGGGAGTATGTGGATTTTTGTCTGTATGGTTGGCTTGGGGAGAACTGTATAGAATCAGATACCATGATTCGATTTAGGCGAATATTGATAAAAGGTGTTGTTTTACTTGACTAGTAATCTCTTAATGCTGCCTCATTGTAAATTATACGAAGATTCTGGAGAAACCCATAGTCTTCGCGTGTCCTAGCTGTAGTTCTCGATACCTTGTGATTGTAGCTGTTCGCGAGGAAAACATCCTACTTAACAACCACGTCAGAGCTGCCCCTAGACTGTAATAAAGTAGAGAATAACAAAGACTAGAACATCCCTATATAATAAATGGTTCTTGTTTCGAACTAGTACGACACTACATTACACTGCCCTCGATTATTCTGTACTCCGATGAGTCATTTGCGCGCCAACATAGATCGTCATTTCTTGCTTCGATGTACGAAGGAAATCTTTTAACTTAGTTCTGCTAGCTCCCTCGCGATTTGATCTTGTACCATCGCTACATCTCGCTTGTGACCGGGTATTAAGCTTCTGGAAGGCATTTCCCTCGAAGAGTTTCTATATTTGTTCAAGTTATCTGATAGACACATTTTAAAGACAGACCTGAAAGAGACAAAAGCCAAACCCAGCCTTATAACCAACCAGAAAGAAATACAGCATACTAAAGTACTATTCTCAAACATAGACCCACAAATCCTCGCGTGCGAATCTCAAATCTGGCCTATCAATAATGACAGACCCAATTATACACACCCCAGTCACCAACACAACCGCATGAGGCATACGCAGAATTTCCATACAGGTGAGCGCAGTAAACATTGAAATTGAGACCACGTCTTGCCCTCTGATCGGTACAAATCCAGCTATCACAGCTATTCCCAGTTGTCCAAGCGGTAGTGCCGGGGTAAAAATATTCACAGGCACCTTGTACGTCGATGCCGGTTTCGCCTCGGGTTTGAAGTGCATTGGCTGAGTTGGGGACCGCGGTTGCGGTAGTTGGGGCGGCGAGGAGTGCGAGACGGAGAATAGTGCTGAGAGTGGTTGTGTGGGCGTACATGCTGGTGGCTGTCTGGGTGGTAGTTAGTAATTGAGATAGGATGTGATATATACTTGAAAGTTACAATTCTAAAACTAGGAAAGGCCATACCTTGGGAAGATTGATGAGGATAACTTAGAAAGTCTGACAATAAGTGTAGACGGCTATAGCGAAGCTGAATAGAGGGTATCAGAAGAAACCGAAGTAGGTCGACTTCTGGAGGAAGCAGATGCGATCTTTGGTTCTTGGAGAAAAGATATCGAACATGAGGGTCATTGATCAAGTCTTTATAGAAAATATTTGGTGACAAAAAATAAGCACGAAAGCCTTCGATTCAATTTCTATAACCTGGTATTGGTGGCCACGATTGTTCATTTGATGTTGACGCTTAATAGCTTCGATGAAAACATCCTAAGCGAGACATACCACAAATAGTCTGTCAAAGCGACACTCTTATGGTGACGCCCAAGAATGGCTGAAACTCAGTTCCGTGCATATATCTGACAATCAGTTAATGCTATGATCCTCAGGAGCTTGCTTTGATCACAATTTTAGCAAATACCGACGCTAGCAGCTTAATTTCTACTGTGGGGTCCAACAGTTATAAGATATAAAAATGGGAAAACATGGGGCGGCTTCCTCTGTACCCAGTTCTTCTACTCATTCACCATGGATCGCAGTAGGAGCTGAGAGATAGGATTATTCCTGTGTTTGAAGTGTATGACTCTGACGGTTAGTTTAGCCTTGCAGCTGAATGAAAGTAGATAGGATCTCAGCCACCAGTACTTGGAAAGTTGGTGGATTAAAAAGGGAGTCATGCGTGGAAAGAGTTATGCTAAAAATAGGGTTGTGGAGAACCAAGAAGCTTGTAAGCATTATTCGGTATCTGGATATAATATTCTATATCTGGAAACATTGTTATAGATCTATAAGAAGGGGCAAACATATCTTTTAACTGTGTTGCACAATGTGGTTGAAGCACCTTCGATTACTAAGTCTCCCGCGCTTCTTTGGTGGATTCTGTTCCTCTTAGACCAATTCGCCATGCTGCCATGAACATTTATCGATTTACTTGACAAACGAAGAACTATTAGTGACTGAAATAGTTTTCTTATGAATTCAATTTCACAAACCTCGCTGCTCTAAGAGATCATTGGCGTGACATTGTCACTCTTGGAGAAGGTCTCACAGAAGGTCAAAAAGCTGGCTACTATAAGCAGGCCATTGATCTGTCACTCGTTTAGGGTTACACACCCTCAGGCAAGATTCCACTTATGTTCCTGGTCTATCTACAATCTAGGGATCATAGCCATAAGATTTCGCTTGTGACAAAGATGCTTATATCAAGCTATAGAGCCACAAACTACCAGGTTTAACAACCGTCCGATTATATCCGAAGCTTCCTCCGCCACCAAGCCCCTCGCTTAATCCCACCCTTCAAACCCCATAGCCTGGCAATTTAAAACAATCATTCAAATTTCCTTAAAAGGCACCCACTTTAGAAAGCTTTTTACTGCTCGTCTGGTTAAGTCTGTAGGAATATGAAATGTGATAATTACAAATATAGCATGAAACTGTTTCCTCAGAAAAAAACAATCTGACAATACCCAAATTCGTGAGAATTCTCATTCCAGCTTCTACGAGTTTCCTACTTTTGGATTCTTTTGAACTGACTCTCGAGAGGGGCTGGATGACTCGTTGTTTTGTCGAGAAGGTAGGTCGATGGACTAGAGAGAGAATCTTAAGCGCACATGTAGTAAAAAGAATCAGTGGCTTGATCAATTTGAATTGTGGTATATTGTCTAGACAGAGCTCACGCCACTACTTATCTACTAGGCACGATAATCTTGTACTTTAATCCTAATATCAACTATAACGTCTTACCGAACTCCGTTCTTAGCTGGATACAAGTGCAAAATTCTGGACATCAAAACTCAATTTCATATTTCATTACGATGTGGTTCCATCTATAAAGAAGCTCATCTAAATCCCAATCTCCAAGACCTGTCCTCCCAACACCGTACTACCAACGGTAGTTCCACCCGTAGCCACATAAACCAACCTCCCATCTCTAGAAACAGCAGCAGAGGTCAGCTTCAGTACATCCGCAAAATCTCCCATACCCCCAATCCACAACATCTGCTCTCCTCCAGGCGTGATCTTGACACAGGCAAACGAATGCAACGATACATATGCATTCCCACGCTCATCCAACGCAAAGTCATCATAAGTATTCCTAAAACTCGGAGGAAAGTCCGGAATCGTCGCCAGAATCTCAGCATCCCCTACTTTACTCCCGTCTCCATCGATTGGAAATCTCCCAAACGTGCCCTTGCTCGAGTTGGTGTAGTTTTGGTAATCGCCTTAGATTTTCAACCCGTTGATCCCGATGGGAGGGCCATTTTTGTCAGTACCTAGAGCGGGGTCGTTGATTGCAATGCCGACTTCGTGCGTACGAGTGTTGACACCAATCACGCCCGCGTTTCCTCCAGTCGAATCTCCAACTAATATAACATGGGGCTTTGTGGGAAGCGAGGCCATTCCATTAAGTGATGCATTAACTGGAATTCGATCGAGGACAACACCATGTTCGCGGTTTTCAGCATCTACAACAATTTGCACAATAAACAATGCCATAATTCCATCGACGAAGCCGAAGGAGACATGTTCGCCACCACAGACGGCGAAGATGTTTGCTTCTTCGTTAATGGTTGATATTCCCGTTAAAGCAGTCACGTTGGGTAGACTAATTACGACCTCTGGGCTTGGTAATACCGCGTAGGGATCGAGGGTGAGAAAATTGCCAGAGTTGAGAGTGCTCAAGAGCAGGTGGCCATTTGGGCGCACATGAATGTTTTCGATCTGCTGTCTTGTAGGGAAATTGATAGACACATCGAATGGCTGGTGCGTTTGGAATTGGAGTTCCAGTGAGTTGAGGGTTAAAAGTTGTCATGATGGGGTACAAAGCCACATCAACTCACGCGGATGGACGCTTGGGGGTTTCACAGTATGGCGATATACCATCATGGTGCTTGTTGGTCTCATTGTTGGGTTTGGGTTGGTGTGTTGCTAATCTTGTCACTTGACACCCTCTATAAGTCCAATCGCCAACCGCACAAAGCTATCAACAAATCCCACCCGTCCTCCCAGCAAATCAGTAGAAATAGTCAAGTAGTAGAGCCACTGAATTACGAGATAAGCTAACTTCCTAAACTCAACTCAAAGAGACTCAAAGAAATCTAAGAATACAAAGTTAGTCCGAGCCAACGGAGCTTGCTTTTTTGCCTTTTTGGGGGGGGGGGGGGGGGGGGGAGGGGGGATTTTTTGGGATTTTTGAGGATGATTGTTTAGTGTGGATGGGGCGAGGGAGAGTAAATAGGTGTACTATAGTAACTCTGAACGTCTTCACTTAACTCATCATACTACCGCAATGATCTGCCTTCCTCCTAATTTTACTACCTACTTTGTCTATGTAAATCCCAAATCTCTAAATTTCTAATCCAATAAATCCTCACTAAGCAATATTATCTTAGTAACCTCCTCGTATACAAGCCTCCCTACCTCTCTGCCTCTTTCCTGATGGCTAACCGCCATATCTCGAACCTTGAAAGAATTTTCGAGTCTATTCTCATTCCATGGCTTTGTAAGAGTTCTATGTGACATGTGCTAGGCAACCCTTCGTCTTCAATACCACCAAGTTCAAACCCCTTCCTCATAGGTTCTCCGGAGAAGTAAGGGCCCTTTGTTTCCCAAATCCAAAAATCCAACACCAAGTCCTCGAATTCAACCATGCCATCTAAAGATTCTTCTTCGACTGCGGGTCGCTAGTAACCATCTGCCTTGAAAAAAAAAGAAACCTGGGATGAAATATATATATATTGTCCATGTTAATCTCCCTGTCTCAAAGCAGTATAGCAGTTTGAATCTAGAAGTTGAGTTTTGACGGTAGACTTAACATACCCAGAATCCTCAGTCAGCAACCGGCAGATACAGTAAAAAACTCGAAGACCAATAACTCAACCCCATACTAGACGACGGATCTACGAGAAATCAGAGGATCATTGCCTTTTACCACAAAGATGACAAGCAAGAAGTAGGAAAGCGAACGAACACATCACATAGAGACACAATTCAAGCAACAACAAATCTCATGCGCATCAATCTATTACAAAAAAGAAAAAAAAAGCAGCCGACCAACCCTTCCAATAGACGCCACGCCCATGTCCCGCTCCTCTCACAACGATGCTTAAAAACCACAAGTTCGAGCTAGAAACCATAGCATCAGAAGAAGGAACTCTTTGCTATATATAGTACACTGTCACAGTAACTTTGCAGCCACGGAGATCAAGTCGGCCCTGCCCTGCCCTCTCTACATGTTGCACTCGCAGTCGCATTGCAATCAAACCACTTTTGGACTTCCTTTTCTTGTTTTACTTTCCTATCGGATTTAATGGATCAATCGATCTTGATGGATCCGTAAATCTTTTGTACAAACAGCCAACTAGCAAAGAAGCCAATGGAACCTAAGATCATATTAATTTCTGCTCAAGCACACGAATGGGAATATACGAGGGACATACCAGTAAGAATAAAAAACAAGAACGAAACCAGGGCACTGTATCCAATATACAGCACACTTCCCGCCAATCCACTCAGTTGCAGCTTCGTAATCCAGTAGATAATAGCATTGGCGAAGACATAAAACGCGGAAGCACCAGCAGTCATGAATGCTCTCCAGTGCCAATGGTAATTCTCGCTACAAAGCAAGAAATAAACCATCAAAATTGTGACCGAGGCACATGTCATGATCATGAGACCGTAGCACAAGAAGAGGAATCCGAACATGTAGTACACCTTGCTGAACCAAATAGAAGACATGATAAAGTAAAGTTCCACGAAAATAGCTCCGAATGGTAGGATACCAACAAGGAGCATCGATGGGATTGGTCGCATGTAGGTTGTGCTTGGTGGAATTTGACGTGGGATTTGGTTTGTGCGGACTGGGGGTTCAATTGCTGGTTGACGGAAGCCGACCCAACTTCCAGCGAAGGAGAGGGGTACTGAGATGATGAACCAAATGATGACAATAACGAGCATTGTTGTGAAAGGGACAGCGCCAGATGACTCTTTTGCCCATAGGAAAAGATTGAGTAGGAAGAAAGTAGCAAAGACAATCCCAGGAACTAATAGAGGAGTGAGCGCAATGTTGAGTTTCCATCTTTCGCCTCCAAATGCCTTGTAAACACGAGAAGAAGCGTAACCTCCAATGAAGCCAAGAACCGTATAGAGAAGGACCATGATGGTACCCAAAGAGCCACGATTTGAGGGTGAGAGGAATCCAAGTAGCGCAAATGCAATAGTAAACCCAGTCATAACGAATAACTGGGCGCCGTTTCCAAGGAAGATACTTAGAATCAGAGGTGAACTTGGTGTTCGGAAAACGTCGCCATGAACCAATTTCCATCCGGAATCCTCTTGTACTCCATCCTCAACTGCAGCAGAAGTCCCTGATAAATCGTCCAGATTGATGGAATCCAGACGGTTGTACCTTTGAATATCTTTTCTCAATGTTCGTAAGAGAATTGAGGTGACGGTGATTGTCAAGAAAATGACAATAATTGCGGAGTTGATGAGGGAGAACCAATGGATCTTGGGGTCAAATACATGGAGGTACTTATCCCATCTTGTAGCCCATGCAGTTGGTGATTCTCTCCAGTATACCCCGTAAGAGAAATTCACAGTCGTCTCGTCGGTCTCTGAAAGGATGACAGGGTTGCTTCCCTGACCACAGGATAAATCCTTGCCCATTCCTTCCAAATTCTTTTTCCTGGACTCCGGTTGAACAATAACTCCAACCACTCGGTATTGACCGGGGGAAACCTGGTGGTAATCGATGATGATATCGTAATGATTGTTCAAGTGCATGTTTGAGCGGTCGGTAGACCCCAAGGCAAACCCTTGACTATAAAACTTCGTTTGCGTTACTTCATCCTCGATCAACTGCCCGGCAGGTAATCCATCAATCAGCCAGTTGAGCGCGAACCCCTGGGCTATCCTCCGGTTTACAAAATGCGACGAACTCATGTCGTACTTCACGCCTTTACATAGTGCCTTGCAAGTCTCGTTTTTTCCCATCTTCAACTCGAAGGGCGATGTCCTAATGCGATCCCCAAATAATATACTCCCCAAGCTCTCGGAGACATCTTTTGGCTCGGGCTCGGGTCTGCAGAAATGAAACGCCGGATGGTAATAGTCGAAGGATACGATGGAGCGTAGGGTTCCATCTACTTGTGAACCAACCGGCGTGAGTCGATTGACGTGCAGAGGCACGAGGTCATTCTCTTTGTATGATGTTGGCGCAACGCCGGGGAGGTAGAAGGCAGAGGATAGCTGAGGCGTCACAGCTAGGAGGAGCGCCGCAGACGGCGACAGATCTCGTAAACGCATGATGAAGCTTTATATCAGAATACTTTGGGTGGGGGGCAACAGTCAGTAGGATTCCAATGATGCGCGTCGAGGGTGTGATGTGTTGGGTGAATGTGGATGTGGATGTGGATGTAGATGTGTATGAATGAATACGCAAGGCTGAGGAAAGTGAAAGCTGGCTGTGAACTTGCTTACCTGGTCCACAGGCAGAAATTGACACTCGGAACGGCGCGGAAATTATTCACGCATGAGAGTATGAAAGGGGAGGTTATTTGGAAGGTTGCAACAATTGTTGTTGGCCTGATTGAGTTGATTTCTAACTTTGAGACAGTACAAGCACTGGCAAACCGTGAAGCCAGCTTGCGCATAGATGCTAATGCGGGAGTGGCTGAGGAAGTGGCTGAGGAAGCTCCGTCGGAGAATCGGAGAATTCCGCTGTGGCTGAGAAATTTCGATATCTGGGAATTTTTTAGCTCCAAACTTACACCCCACCACCTTTTTCACTACAACAACTCGACATGGCAGCACAATCTTCCTTTCCAGCGCTGCTGGAGACCCTTACGCAGGCATTGACGTCTGCCTCGGAATCTTCGAAATCGTTACATGCGCCAATTCCTCCCGAGCATGGAATATCTCTTCTCGACGTAAAAAACGAGTTATTCCTGTCGTACCTACAAAATCTCGTCTTCCTGATCATTCTCAAACTACGCAACCGCAAAACAAGGAACTCATCCCCCGACGATGATGAGAATGAAGAGCTTGACAACTCCGTTGTTAAAAAACTGGTTGAATTGCAGGTGTATCTAGAGAAAGGCATGCGACCGCTTGAAGGGCGTCTGAAGTATCAAATCGACAAAGTTTTGCGCGCAGCAGACAACGCAAAGCGCGCCGAGGACGCGGCAACAGTGGCGAAGAACAAACCTACAGCAAAACTTGCAAGGAAAAACCAGGCGCAAGACGAAGATACAGATGCCTCTTCTGATGAAAGTGACGACGAGGCTATAGATAGTGTTCCCCAACTCGAAGCCAACCAAATCGATGACCTCCAGTATCGACCTAATCCCTCTTCTCTTATGCGTCCCGTCAATCTCGACGATGCCGATGATACAAATGGCAGATCCGAAAATGATGGAATCTATAAACCACCTCGCATTCAGGCAACAGCCATGCCAACCACAACCGGTCCACGCGAGAAGATGGATAGAAAAGCAAATAAGTCCGCAACTCTGGATGAATTTGTCAATACCGAATTATCGGCCGCGCCATTGGCAGAGCCAAGTATTGGTTCTACAATCACCGGCGGAGGACGAAGAAGCAAGAGTGAAAAGGAAAAGAAGGAAGAGGCCGAACGCCGAGAGTACGAAGAAAAGAACTATGTCCGTCTACCAAAGGAGACCAAAAAGGAGCGGGCCAAGAAGAAGGGAGGAAGAGATGCTGGATATGGTGGTGAGGAGTGGAGAGGTCTTGGTGAGGGCATTGATAGGATTGAAAGGTTGACCAAGCGAAAAGCTGGCGAAGGAAAGAATATTTTGGATAAGAGTCGTAAAAGATCTACTGAGCATGGACCTAAGAGCAATGGTGGCGCAGAATTAGGTCAAGGGTTCCAAAAACGATTGAAGACATTGGATGGCGGGAGAAGGGACCGAGGACGAAAGTAAATGGATTCGACTTGAGCCCAATAAGAGCGCTAATAGCATATACTCAACCATGTACATCGGTTCTATACATCAGTTCTATACATCTAGTTCTACCAACTCAAGTTCCTTCGTTTTCCAGCCTTGTAGCATGAGGAGATGTTTTTACCCCGTCAAATTTTGTACTCATCTTGCAGACATTGCCTGACCCCTCCTCATCGGCCTACAAATGTTTTTTTCGAACTCACCTTTTAGTATCACATAAAATGAACTTCCCGATAAACCATCATCATATTTCATCAAGCTATAAAACCCATTAAATCTACACACTACCACCGTGAACTCTTCCTAGTCTCACACATATACCCATACTTGTAACTCAAGTGGTATGTAAAAATAATACAGTAAACTAGCGAGCATCCAAGCCAAATACTCTACTAAACACCTAAGAAACACCTCAAGACATACCGTCACATACTCACCAACGAATCTCAACATCCGTAGCAAAGAAATCCTACATACCACCCATCCTATCCTTATACTTGAAATAAAGAGTCCTTTAAACTTTCCTAATAGAGATCTAATAAAAAATTATAATCCCGCCTACGCTTAACCTTTTAAAGTTAAACGTTAAAGAGTATAAGAGGTAAGTACTACTCTAATACGCTACTAAAACTTATTACTATAACTTATACTAAAACTCTAGTATAAGTAACTTAATTCTCTTATTTCACCTAGTATAATAAGAAATAAAAAGTAAGAATTATTCTAAAATATTCGTATAACTTAATTGTTTTAGTTTATAAGGTGTTTAGTAATCTTAGTATAAGAGTTCTAGAATAACCGAGTGTCACGAATCACGTGCTAGCAGGTGATGAGTGAAGACCAGGCGGCGTCCTGACAGGTTAAACATTATCATGGACTCTTATAGCGAATAGGGACGCTTAGACTAGCTAAGCGATCCAGGGATTTCTCTTGGTTAGTTATCACGTGATGGAAACGAGCGACATGGCCGACGAGTCGACCATGTCGGCCATGGTCGAACAGTCGACCATGGCGACCACAGAGAACGAAGGTTCTATATAAGACTGGCACGTCTGCCATTAGATAGGAGCTTCGTGCTCAACTTAGTTATCAATCTTATCATATTAGTTTGACATCTTTGATACAAGTAACGAGTTCACTTCCAAGTGAACAACCCGATAGTCTTCTTCTTATCATAGCATACCAACCAGCGAACACCCAGCCAAGTTTAGTTAGCCAGTTTGAGTATTCGTTACACCGAGGTACGAATTTCTTTTATATTAAGACTCTAGGGTTATACTAGATTAGGTTTTTAGGATAATTCTTTTTTTATAAGGTAGGTATATAGAGTAATACCCGCCTTTTTAATATAGAGTATATATTTTTTTAATTCTTTCTATTACTCCTTTTCGCTAAAAGCTATAATACTAGACTCTAGAACTACCTTCTTGATTACTATTCCCTTACCTAAAAGTTTAAAACCCTTACTTACTTATCCCTCTATAAACCTCTATAAACCTCTTCTAAATTCTATTTCCCTAGACCCCTTATCTAACTAATACTTATACCTCTTTATTAGCTTAAAATAACCCTTTATTATTCCCTCTTCCCTCTCCCTTCTAATCCCCCTAAGTCCTCCTATCCTAAATAACTATCTTCCTTCCTTATACTTATACTTATACTACTTATAGATATCTAGTAGCTAGGTATACTAGTAAGAACTCTTATATACTTATAGTACCTAGGTAGTATATTGTCACGAATCACGTGTTCACGTGATACTTGTCATAATAAGAGGCGCAACCCTCGAAAGGCACATCCAGGTTTCTTAGAGCAAATAGGGATCGTTTGGAGTAGCTAAGCGATCCAGGGATTTCTCTGTATTGTTATCACGTGATATTGGGAGTTCGCCAGTTAGCCGGACGAACAGGCGAAGTTAGCCAGCCAGTTCGATTGTCGAACGAGCGAACATCGAGAGAACGAAGGTTCTATATAAGACTGGCACGTCTGCCATTAGATAGGAGCTTCGTGCTCAACTTAGTTATCAATCTTATCATATTAGTTTGACATCTTTGATACAAGTAACGAGTTCACTTCCAAGTGAACAACCCGATAGTCTTCTTCTTATCATAGCATACCAACCAGCGAACACCCAGCCAAGTTTAGTTAGCCAGTTTGAGTATTCGTTACATATATATAGATAAAGGAATAACTTAAAGTCTTAAACTATCTTATAGTACGAGTAATATAACAAGAAGAAGAAGAAAAAGAAGAAGAAAAAGAAAAAAAAGGAAAAGGAAGGGTTATTATTAATTCTATAGTATTAGTATTAGTTCTAGTCTACCTAGTTAGTTTAGCTAGGAGAGGGACATAGGGAGGAGGTTAGTAACTCGTGAGGGGAATATAGGAAGCGGTAAGCGGTAAGTCGTGATTATAGTATATATTATAAGATACTAGATACTAGATACTTAAAAGGATAGTACTAAGTAAGGAGAATTTCATAACTGTCGGTATATTATTCCCCATCCACTCTCCCCTATTTAAAAATGTCACTTTGTGTAGTAGGAATTTTGTCAAAGTAACACTAGCACTGAAATCAGTCCAGTCCAGTCCAGTTCATAAATCAACGAGAAGAGGAGTGGAGTGGAGTGCCTAACCTCCTATCTAACCAGCCATCCAGCCATCCAACCACTCAAGTAAACCAGACAGTACTGTCAGTACACGCCAAACTCCAACGCTACGCACGCGGCACGAATGAAAAAAGAAAACCACGACGCCAACCTACCAAAACCAAATCAAGATATCAACAGAAACATCTTCATAATCTTTCATTTTTCATTTTTCATCCTCAGGAAGGTCTGTCTATCTGTTACATAAATGAACCAAACCCAAATCCATAATCCATGCCATGCCTCAAAATCCCAAGGTATGCCTATCCCACATCACCGACGAGGAGAGATGATATCACCTCCAAGGGGTGTGTCCATAAGATGAATGCCTATCGCCCATATGATGAAGATTTAAAGTACTGTATTTCAGGTCACACCGTCGCTTTTCCCCCCCGCTCAACTCCTCTCATTGACCGTCCATCTCCTCTTCGGAGCAACCTCCCTCATTCTCTCCGGAAAGCTAGAGGGGATAGGACTACCCCAAAGTCCACCAGTAGCAGGCAAAGGAGCGACATCATCTTTTTCTCCCGTCTCCTCCTTATCCTCGTCCTCTTCTGAGAAGACGGATCCCGGTTTTGTCTCTTCTTTAGCTTTACTATCTGCCGCACCGTCGTCTCCGAAATTGAGAATCATATCATCTCCGGGCTCATCGGTAGGGTCGTCCTCGGGCGGTGCTGCACTCCATAATCCGATAGAGCTCTGGCGCGCTGGGACATAACTACGAGGGGCTGAGCTTGCCACACTTGCCGTACGACGCATTGAGCCAAGCGAGCCTGAGGTGATGGGCCGCACTGATTTGTTAGCTTCAAAAGAGCCAGAATAGCTACCGAATCTTTCTCGAAAGGAACCTCCTATGATGGATGGATTTCTTGAAGGAGTTGGGGTTGATGCTGTACTGACAGAACGAAGATGTTCGGTATTGGCCACGAGTTTGACTTCGTACTCTTCTGAGATGAGTATATTTTTTGATGGGTTTCTTGAATGTGAACTTGATGTGGGGGCAGGGGTGGTGGATGGTGAGCTTTTAGGACTGGGCTTCCTAACTGCCATTGTCAATGAGGCCATGCCAACATCGAGGAGAACAGGTTGGTTTGTCAAAGCTCCAATTAAAGCATTACATCCAGCACCATGCGTAACCAGAATTAGAACCAAGTCGGTGTCCTCATCTTCTTGATTTTCATCGACCACGCCCGGAATGTTCACGACAGCAGGGCTGGGGGGAACCTTTGTTAAGAGCTTTCCCGGGTCATCATCGCTCTGATACCAATCGATCATGTGCTGTATTCCTTTTCGAAAACGTTTGTGCATCGAACTCCATTCTTCACCATACTCACCACCACTACCCCACAGTTGTGGTTCACGCATGCTGTCCCATTGATAGTCAACATCAACACATGCATCTCTAGCATGGGATACATATCCAGCAGGAATTGGGTCGGAGAGTGAAATTGCATAACTAGGTATCGGAGGTTGGTAAATACCATGATCTGATGTATTTGGTGCCGGTAATGGTGACTTGCTCCTCCCCCTCTTGTGGCTTCCATTTGTTCCCACACTGCTCAAACTGCTAGTTCGGTCTCGATTCCTGAGTGCTTGTCCAAGTGCAGACATGTTGCCTAAAGGAGATTCATCCCTATCCTCCTCTGCACTGACAGTGGGACTGCCCCATCCACCAGGGAATGGCTTCTGATGTCCACTATGTGCAGTGCCTCCAGCAAAATCCCGGCTACTTATGAGATTTTTATAGTCTTCTCTACGAAGTAAATCTGCTTTGGCCCCGGCCACCATCATGGGCGAGCTAGGAGGTGGAGTGATAAGTTCAAAGTATTCTGGAGTCAACCACTCGCCCAAGAATGCATCAACTCGAATGATTGATTTCTTGATATTTTCCGGTATTTCCCGGGCTTTTCCGTGGATGTTTGCAGGCTCCAGAATAGGAGTCAACGAAGGAGAGCCAGTAGCTATTGTAGGTCGTATTCTAGGAGAAGAGTGCATGGGAGAAGACGAGCCTCTGCCTGAATGAGAGGAGAAGGGTCGCTGGTTCGTATGGCCTGGATTCTGTGCCAGACCTGCGCTAATGGCCGTAGCGGTCTGCACACATCGTTGGAATGGCGAGGTGTGAATTATGACCTTGTGTCTTCGTTTCCTTCTCTTCCCACCTTCTCCTTCTGCGTCATCCAAGAGTAATACCTCATCGTCCGTCTCCCTCGTGCGGAGTATATTGGCGATCCGTTGACCCAAAGACCGCGACTGCGTCCACCCACCATAAGTTAGAGGCGGATCGTAGGGAGTGGGAGATGTAAGATGCCATTGTTTATCGGCAGCATCGAGGCGAGCGCCATGTCTAGATATAGTATTAGTATAGTATCGCCATTTTGAACCGGGTGATGTCGTCCGGGTCTGATACTTTGTCAATAGTAAACTCGAAACAGAAGGTTGGGAAAGCACCCGCAACGGAGAAAAGGGGATGTAACACACCTGACGACGATGACAACAGCTGGAGGCCAACCCATTACTGCAGCATTCTCAGTATATCTTTGGAATTGGGTTGAGGGTTGTGATGCACAAGAGGGTTAAGGTTTAGTCTTCCCAGAGGTCCCAGTCGTCACTCATGATTGGGATGGGTCTGTCTGCAGGGACTGCTTTACAGATCATGAAGCGGGGCTGGGCGGGCAGACCTCAATCCCCACGTTTTCTCACATGTGACGATTGCTGGATCGAACCTTCAAGTCACCTGCATTTTTACCATGTGCAAGCACTTCTTGCAAGCCAGATATGCAAGGCTTCCATCAGGCTGACGTTGATTACCAAGCCCAACTTTTCAGGGGTCCAAATGGAATGCCATGCTCGCCAGGTACCACTCTCGAGCCAAGTACAAGTACGGAGTTACATCTCCCTTATGCCCTTTTCACAAGTCCATCACCGTTTGCCTCTCGCGCAATACTCCACCTCGCACTTGGCTCGGTGGCATATATACAATTGTAAACCTGCGATATCCTCAATTCCGAAAACCCAACCAAGATGAAGCTCTCCAGCTTTCTCCAGCTTCCCATAGTGCTTGCCTCCCTCCTAGCATCCTCACCAGTGGTCGCAGAACATACCAGCAATTGGGCTGTTCTCGTTTCTACATCGCGATTCTGGTTCAACTATCGCCACCTTGCAAATGTTCTATCTCTATACCGAACCGTAAAACGACTGGGCATCCCGGATTCCCAGATCATTCTCATGTTGCCGGATGACATGGCCTGCAACCCGCGCAACGCATTTCCGGGGACGGTGTACAGTAACGCCGATCGCGCAGTCGATTTATATGGAGACAATATCGAGGTGGATTATAGAGGATATGAGGTGACGGTGGAGAACTTTATCAGATTGTTGACCGATCGTGTTGGAGAGGAAATGCCCAGGAGTAAGAGGTTGTTGACAGATGACCGGAGTAACATTCTGGTGTACATGACCGGACATGGTGGGAATGAATTCTTGAAATTTCAGGATGCCGAGGAAATTAGTGCATTCGATCTGGCAGATGCCTTTGAACAGATGTGGGAAAAGAAGAGGTAGGAATATCTTTGGGACCCCCAGCGCTCGTACAGGAACCTCACTAACAGAAACTCAAGATATCATGAAATACTTTTCATGATCGATACATGTCAAGCAAATACAATGTACTCAAAGTTCTACTCTCCCAACATCATCGCCACAGGGTCTTCGGAAATCGATCAATCTTCCTACTCTCACCACGCAGATAACGATGTTGGAGTCGCTGTTATCGACAGATACACATACTACAACCTCGACTTTCTCGAAACTCAAGTTCGAGAACCGTCCTCCAAACAAACGCTCTCCGACCTCTTCAATAGCTACGACGAGTCGAAGATTCATTCGCATCCTGGTGTACGATGGGATCTATTCCCAGGAGGCGAACAAGCAGGACGCGAGAGATTGGTCATGGATTTCTTCGGAAATGTGCAGAACGTGGAAGTGGACAGCGTAGGAAATGCGACGGAGTTTGAAGAGGATTTGCTCGCCCTGGGGAGGAAGATAGCTGAGATTAAGGAAAGAGCTGATGCTCAGGAGAAGGACTTGAAGAATGTCAGTTCGCCTGAACCGGCTCTGACGAGTTCGCATTCTAGAAGAAAGATCAGAGCTGCCAAGGTGCAAGCTGATGATAAGTCTTGGGGGAAGACCGCTGTGGGTGTGTGGGCATTGGCAGGGTGTTCTATGGTTTGGTGGTTTGGGAGTCATATGGAGTCGAAATAGTTATATACCAGGATGTTTTAAGTTAGGCAATAGATCATGATTGAAATGGGTAATTCGCAAGTATGAAATCCTGAAATGGCAGCGCAAGCAAAAAGTTGCTAAACAGACACCAAGAGAAGGATGGTTTCGTTGTGAGCAGAGTTGTCACCTTGCAACAAGGACCTCAAAGAATATAATGGTTGAGTCTTCTGTAGAGTTTCTTCGAGCTACTAAATGAATTAAGCAAACTGCAGAAATAAGGAAGATTGGTTTTCAAGGTACCCAAACCGTAAGAAACATCAAAGTACAAGCCTCACAAACAATCCATACCTCCCAAGACTTGCACTCCTCTGCTTCTTACATCCTACAATTCACTCCATCACATCTACACCCTAATTCCTCCCCCAAAATTCCATCCCTTTACCCCCAAAAACAATCTGCTGGTGTTTTAATCACCCAACCTCAGCATGCCAATTGGTTCGCTTAATCGGTTAATCCCGCGCTCTGGTTGGTTGGTACAAAGAAACAACCGACCCTCCGCCCGGCCGCCCCCCTTTTCTTTCCAAGCTCGCTTAATCGGATTTAGCCGAATGTGAATGCTAATTCACGACGCAGGATGGGTTGTCACGACAAAGGAAAGATATTTTTGGGGGGATTTTAGGTGTGGTTTTATGGGTTTTTTTGAGGTTGTTGGGATGCTGGGGCTGGGTGGTGGGTAAAGCAGCGGGGGGGGGG